TATTTATTTATTTATATCCCGCCTATCTGGTCGGGTCACTCCCACTTTGGCTCCATTTAAGAACAGCAGGGTAAAAATATTTTAAATAAAATAAATATTCAATCCAAGTTTTACAACTGTAAAAACCTTACAATTGGACACACTTAGGAAACTTAGCTTTTGTAGACTACATTTCCCAGAACCCTCCAGCCAATGGGATGCCAGCTGAGAGATCCTGGAAAATAGTATCACCATCCAGCTGGCTCTCTTAAGCAACTTCAAAGTCTTACTCTGTTTCCTGCATTTTGTTTCAGAGGCCTTTGACATGGTGCTATCCTGGCAAAGTCCGAAGATGTTACTTCTTTTTCAAAATGTACACTTCATTCACTAAGTCTGGCAATTTGTGCATGGTGGCATCTAGCCCGGGGTGGATAAAGTCTGGGTTTTGTTAGGCCATGGTTCCCAGCATTTCTTATCACTAGTTATGCTCTCTAGCACTGATGGGAACTGCAGGCCAAGAACGTCTGGAGGGTCACACTTTGCCCTCATAACGGCATTGCCACATAACTATATTGCAATATAGAGAAAATATTTGACGTGGTGGCGCTGCGGGCTAAACCGCAGAAGCCTGTGCTGCAGGGTCAGAAGACCAAGCAGTCGTAAGATCGAATCCACATGACGGAGTGAGCCCCCGTCGCTTGTCTCAGCTCCCGCCAACCTAGCGGTTCAAAAGCATGCAAATGCAAGTAGATAAATAGGGACCACTTCGGTGGGAAGGTAACGGTGTTCCGTGTCTAAGTCGCACTGGCCATGTGACCACGGAAGATTGTCTTCGGACAAAAACGCTGGCTCTATGGCTTGGAAACGGGGATGAGCACCGCCCCCTAGAGTCGAACACGACTGGACAAAAATTGTCAAGGGGAACCTTTACCTTTACCTATCTGAATCCTCCCCAAAGGCTGCAGTCTGAAGCAGCTAGTATGTCTACTTTCCGCTGGCTACCCAGATATTTTGCTGTCTGAGGCAAGAGGTAAGTGGGTGAACCAAAACTTACTGGTTGGAGATCTGGATCTTGCTTCAACACCGATGAAAGGATACCATCTTCCTCCCCTACTGCATGGCACAACTAAGGGCAGCAGACTAGTTTTCAAAGGTGGAAGATAGGGCTTATGGCACACATTGCTCTCTTCTCCCAAAAAGAAGAATAATTACCAGAAGCAACAGCTGTGGGGCTTCCACGGCTACCCTCCAGCACCTACTGCCTGAAGCAGCTTGCTTGAGCCATTCTGCATAGTGTTAGGGCTGCTTTTACACATACACCCATATGTATACAGCCATGCTGATTTATAATTTTCACCCTGGTTGCAGTGATCTGTGCTCTTCTGCTAGGTCAGATACTCCTCCGTAGGGGGAACCTTGGAATCCCACCCAAATAATTTTCTCTCCTCCTGAAAACACTTGAGTACTGGCTAAATCCATGTGTCCAGTTGCAGTGTCCTGTTCCAACTGTGGAATGTTCGGTTACTTTCCACTTGCACTCGTTCAACAAACGTTCTGTTGGAAATGTTCTCTTTGGGTGCTTGCCATCTATGCGTTTTTTAGTTCCATTTTGTAACCTAGAAAAAATGTGGGGGATGGGATGGGAATAATACATTCTGAATGAGCGAGTTGCTCAGCTCAGGCTCACAAATTGCCATGCTCTCAATCTTACTGAAGGAGCCAAATATAATAAATGGGTTGTAAATGTTGGGCCACGTGCGCGCACGTGCAATGTCAAAGCATGTTCAATTTGCAGACAGCAACTTTGGCCAAAGGCAGGTGTTCTTTTTGCAACTGCAGTATTATCACTTTATTACAAGGATGGAACCACTGCCTTACAGTGATTGGCTTGAGGTTTCAGTTCCCTAGGGCTTGCTGTCCTGTGTCTTCAAGTCGCCTCTGACTTATGACGAGCCTGTGAATGTGCGGCCATGCCCCACTTATTCTATCAAGTCCACTGTGAACAGATGTCTCCTGTGGATCTGAGTTGTTGGATTGTTTGCAGGTGAGCAACAGAACAGAAGGCTTCCCAGAGCTTGGGAATGCCCTCCTTTTCCCCATTTCATTGCATTGTATTTTGGACTGCAGAAAAACAAAAAACCAATTGGCCATGCTGACAGGGAATTCTTGGAACCCCACCCCTATATCTTTGGAGTGCTAAGAGAAGAGTGGCCAACACAACTGCACATCTTTAAGGGCCAAGCCAGATTTGGTGCTAATGGCAGTGCTATGCTTTAATTATTCCTCTTAAAAAGTAAGTAAACAAAAACATTAAAAGGAACCCATTTTCTCATTTGCTGTGCTGTATTTGTGACACTTTGGACAATGATAGCAAAGCATGGGAAGTTCTTTTCTAAAAGTAATTAGTCCCAGCCTCACGCCTCCCCATCCCAATTTAGGTGCAACAACAATAAAATGTTGCTTTCTCATTATTTAAAAACAACTGAAATGGGCATGTTAGTTGCTTTTTAAAAAGCAGCAGATGTTATAAGCCATGGTTTTTGGTGTAGAGCATGGCTCAGTGAGGCCAGACACATTCTATAACTATAAAAACAACTAAACAAAATTTACATCACAAAAGTTATGGCATTGGTCCTCATTACGTTACAGTTATAATGTAGCCCAATTATGCCTTAGCTATTGCAAAAAAGGAATTAATTACAGGCAACTAATTATTTATAACTAGTTATTTCCAGGCTCTGGAAATATGTATAAACATGTATAAATTAAGACCCATTAACCTTACAAAAGAGCTGTTCTTTTTGTAAGGAAGACTCCTGTGTTGATATGTATTGACCCAGCTGCCTGTCTTTTTGGATGTCCCTAGAGGGGGTGGCTAGAGGGAAAGTCATGAAAGCCACACTTCCAATTTTATCACTGGGAAAGGGTAATGATCATGAGGACTCCCTGAATATCAACATTTACCACTACAACATAACTCGAAAGATAAAAGGAAGCAAATCACATCTACTGTATGAGATTTGAGATGCAGTTTCCTTTATAATTACACCCATGAGTGTTACCAGTGTCTCCTGATGGAAATTGTTATTAGCAGCTTCTTAAATCAATGAGAGTGTAAACTAGTCTTCTCAGACTGAATAGATATACCCTTAGTGTAACAGTATATAATTCTGAATTTGCAGGGTGGGACACAGGTTAATAAAACTATATTGTAGAACAGGTTACTATGTTATTGTAACATATTATTATGTTTTTCCATTACTGTAACCTTGCATTATCCTCAACTAAAACGGAGAAGTAATGAGTTACAAAAAATAAAAATTTGTAATTTATTGCTTTTTACAATAAGCAAGGCATAACTAAATTGTGTCACAACTATAATATATCATGGGCTAACTTCATTCCTTTTGCAGAGTGAGTACAACTGTATTTATTTATTCTTATAACCGTGCAAAATTGTGTTTTGCGCTCCAATCCAGGACCTCTCAGAATTTCAATGTTTAAAGAATAACTTAAAATTATGTCAGTTGCTTTTGAAGAACAAGAAAGAATTGCTTTTTAAAACGAACAAGTACAACAACATATTGTGAGAGGTGGTGAACTATAACGTTACTTTTTAAAAGGGACTTTTCAAGCTGTATCCTCAAGGTTCCTAAGGTTAAACTGTAGTTATGTGTTTCATTTTGTCAGGGAATGGAGGATTGGGTAAGTAGTCCCCTCCCCGGCTTCAAAGGAGGAAGATCATTAACAAAAAGCCTGACCCACAGCATCCCATTTGCCAGAAAAGGTGAACCCTGCTGAGAGCGTACTTTTCTGCTTTATGTTACAGACTAACTAACTAGATCCTGTTCCTGTTCTCCTGGGGCTGTGGAGCTGCTTTAATGCACTAGAAAACGCCGTTTATGTAAGTTTGATACCACTTTAACTACAACATCTCCACCCTGTCATTGCTGTAGCTGTAGAATTTTCTGCTATAGTTCAAGGAAGTGGACTACAGCTTACTGGCAGAGAATTCCAAATACATATCTCAGCAAACGACGGATCTTAGAACTCCAAATGAGGGAGCCACGGAAGGTAAAACTGGTGGCCAAGCATTACAGCTGTGCAGCATAGATAATCTCTTTGCCACCCAATGGGAGACGGTGCTCCTGAAGGGATTTTACTACCCACTGCTGGAAGAACACTATGTTGATGGGGGGGGGGTGGACCATGGTCTAAAACCAACGTTTGTGAAGAAACACCACTTGCTTCTCTAACTAACTCCATACTAAAAGGAACGTTTTGGTTCTCTGCTGGTTTTAATTCTCCCTCCTCTTTTTCCATCTGTTCTATGTCAATAAATTGCAGCCTCGTGGACAAAGACTGAAGCATCTTTTCACCTCTCTATAGCACTTGCTTTACTTTTGTTTATAGGAAGTCACAAAAATTTGCTAAGTGGCTTCTACTACCATTACCAAGAACTTGGGCTGGGAAATGGCTAGGAATGTTACATGTGGGACATGTTCTTGCCATCTTCTTCTACTCCACCTGAGTCCTTTGGTGCACAAATCAGATGCAATGCAAAGCAAAGTGTGCTGCTTACATACAGCCCCATAGTGCTCAAAGCACTCTCTGATCAGTTTACAATTTTTTGATTATAGAGATTACACATTTGCTCCCGCCCCCCATGAGCTACATTTTACCAACTTCCGAAGGATGGAAGGCTGAGTCAACCTCAAGCTTTTGGTATCAAGAGTTTTGACTGCAATACTACAGTTTAACCACTGTGCCATGAAGCTCACAGAAATATAAACAAATATATTGTACTATACTAAGGGAGGAATGGTAGGGAATTGAACTCTCAACTTCTGACTCCGCAGCCAGATGCCTAACCCACTGAGCTATGACGAGCAACTGCTTGTGTCACCAGAGAACATCAGTGGTGATTTTAAAGTCTGAGTTATAGCTGCACTGTATACACCTTTCGTCTCAATGTGTAAGAAGGATCTGTAGGCTGAACTGAATTGTGCACATACATATGTATGTTTCCCCATCTTAATTGGCTTTGATGCCTAGGAGTGGCTTTTCTTGGTCTTTAATTTGAGACAAAAAAGAATGTGGATGCCAGACCAGGGTGGGTCAGCAAATAATTGTTCTAAATGGCCTATGTTGATGTTTTTCAAAATTTCAAAATGAATATGTTACATCACTTGAAAAAAAATTATTTTACTGTAACAACGGTTACAACTATAAAATGTTGCAGTTGTGTAGCAGAGATACACCTGCAAGTATTTGGCTTACCACAGAGACCTTATGTATGCTCCTCATTTACATAAGAAATAGGTCAGCCAGCTGTAAGAAAGGAAATCTCTAGAACTTTCTCAAACCTTCAGTCTTCATTTTGCAATGTTTTGGTTGAAATCCTGTTACTTAGCATAATGAATCACAACTAGAATAGCCCATACATATACATACATACATACATACATACATACATACATACATACATACATACATACATACATACATACATACATACATACATACATACATACATACATACATACATAATACATACAGTATAAAGACCAGTAAAAAGCACACATGTAGCAGAGATGTACATGAGCCATACATAATACAGTAGTCTCCATAAGACTTTATTGTTTAATAGATCACAAACAGGGCTGCCAGTTCTCTGGCTGCCAGCTGAAATCTTATGGAAGGGTTTGCTAGGCTTTCCCACATCTCAAGAGAGGACAAATCTCAGTACGAGCAACAATGGAAAAAGAGAAAATTTTACTTTTGTGCAGGATGGCTGTAAGGAACAGGGCACCCTTCTCCATTCATTTCCAGCTGGCACCGGGATTTTTTGGCTCAGCCTGGAGGTGCTTGTACGTGCATTGCTACACTTGCACAATATTGATATATCAGAAAGCAAGGAATAATGGTGCTTTCTATGTGGATCAGTAGTGGTATGGGGCCTGGAAACACCCACACAAACATAATCTGTGTACAGTAGTAGGATAAAGCCAATGCAGATTGACTGAGCACCAAAAACTGCTCTAGTTTCTAGTGCTCTCATGTTGTCATATTACCTGGCTGGGTCAAATTTTACACACATGTCAAGACCATTCACTTGAATATGCCTTTGTGCCCATTTCTACAATTAGTTTGCCCAGAAGCAGCTTTGAACCCTGTCCTAACCCTTGCCTGCCCCGCCTCTCTGACGTCACAAAGACTCACTCCCATGCCCATCACAAATCTCTCAAACCCCACCCCACCCATACTCTTTAGTCTCTAACATCTCAGGGAATGGTACTGTTGAGCTGGCAACCGTAATTGCAAGCTTTTGAACTGGGACATGCAAAAGAAAAAAGTATCTCAGACAGGAGTCTCCCTGCACCCCCGACTCTAATACTCCTTTTGTCACCTAATCACTGTGTGTTCAGTAACTCCGAATGTTTCAGTTACTTCTGTTTGTGATGATAGTATGCTACAAACCCTTGTGAGGTTAAAGACCAAAAAACCATGTAACCAGGGATACCACAAATTTGAACTTTGCATCAGCAAGGGCCTTGGCTTCAATTTGAGAAGTATTTCCAGATAGGTTCTTTAGGCATGTAAACATCAAAGATCTCTATTAAAGTGTCATATATACTACCAAGATGATATAGCAGGGATTTTAAAGCATCGATCCAACTCTCCCATCTCATTTGACTCAGTGGCTTAACAGTTGTGCCTCATACACGGCTAGTTAGATTTTGCTAATGCTGAATTGATGCAGAGAAATAATTATAGATCTGTTGAATCAAACTGAAGAAACTTGTGGCTTCCAGACAACATTTAGCAGCATCATTGACTACCAAGCTTAGAGTGTGCATTGCAGAGCACAAAAAAGGCACGTGGATTTATGTCTACGACTCTCTTTTGTACGCTATTTTCTTTGCCTTTCATGTTATTCCCATTATCATAACCATGACCATGCAGATCCCCAGTTGGTAATCCCATTTACTCAAGCTGTCCAAGAAGAGTTTTTGTCATAAAAGCACCTGTGTTCTTTAGTGGAACAAAGCTCATGAAATGTTCTTTTGTCATAACCTCAGGTTTGGACATATCAGTATCTGATGGTTTGATCATGTTGACAAAACATACAATCGTTGTAATTTGTTCAGTATGACTAACATCAGGTGCGTAATCCAGAATAACTGAATAGTATTTGGCTGACTTTGTATCTGTTAAACTCTTCTGCTTTATAGCACCTACTAGAAGTTGTTTAAGTTCATTTTGGATATATTTTCCTAAGTAGTGAACCATTGTTTCTTCATTTTTAAACTCTGTGCAAATGTTCATTCATGATAGGATCAAAAAGGGCTAAATATTCTACAAACTTCAAAAAATTTCCATTGTTAGCACTATACAATTTTTCAGTAGTACCACAGAATGGCAAGTTTTGCATGCCAAGAAGTCTGACCAAAGCAATCAAGCGTTCCAAGATTTGCTGCCAATGTTGTTCTTCTTGCCTGATTTTCTGCTGGTTAATATCATCAACTGTTTTAGAACATAAGAAGAACCCTGCTGGATCCAGCCAAGGGCCCATCTAGTCCAGCTTCCTGTATCTCACAGTGCCCCCAACAGATGCCTCTGGGAACAAATGAGACAACTAGATACCTGTCTCCTGATACCCCTCCCCTGCATCCGGCATTTTGAGGTACCTTCCTTCTTCTAAGCCTGGAGATTGTACACTCCCCATCATGGCTTGTAACCTGCGATGGACGTTTCCTCCAGAAATCTCTCAAAACTCCTTTTAAAGCATTTATGCCAGATGCCCTCACCACATAATGTAGCAAGGAGTTCCAGAGACTAACAACATGCTGGGCAAAGAAATATTTCCTTTTGTCTGTTTTCACTCTCCCAATACTCAATGTGAGTGGATGTCCCCTGGTTCTTGTATTGTGTGAGAGGGAAAAGAGCTTCCCTCTATCCACTTTATCCATCCCCTGCATCATTTTATACATCTCAATCGTGTCCCCCCTCAGGCGCCTTTTCTCTAGACTAAAGAACCCCAAACGCTGTAACCTTTCCTCATAAGGGAGGTGCCCCAGCCCAGTCATCATTTTAGTCACTCTCTTCTGCACATTTTCCAGTTCCACTATGTCTTTTTTGAGGTGTGGTGACCAGAACTGTACACAATACTCCAGGTGTGGCCTTACCAGCATTTTGTATAAAACTTTGCAGCCCATATAAATCAATTTCATCCTTATGTCATAACAATAACATCTAAATGATGCTCAAATGTGGTTCTTATTGCCAGTGTGTCCATAGTCTCAGGCTCTCCTAAATTTGTGGGATTGTGCATCCCATCATTTTAGCAGCCTGGCTGGCAATCATGGGACTTGTAGTCCAACACCCCTTGAGGGTGCCAGGTTGGAGAAGGATATTTGATTGTGATACAAAGCTGTATCTGTATAGGCACGGGCATGTCTACATTTCAAGGGGTAAATGGTTTGTCCTGCTGCCAGCCCCAAATAAGCCCCACCAGCTGCTGGATCATGTTCTATATGGCAAGAGTTGCTCAGGCAAACATGCTTATTAATCCAGGAGTTCTTTCTGTTATTCACTGCTATTGAATATCATAACCTAAGATTTTCTTGTTTCAGTAAACAATTTCTTCCATTTATCTTTTTTCCAGAAAATATTCTCCATGACTGTCAACCTTTTAAAAAATTTTGACAAACTGAAAAATGCGCATAAATTTATAACGTGGTTGGTTTTTGTAGTAACCCCTCTTGTTTGTGATTCTCATGATTTTTTTCATGTAGTCTTTTTACTTCTTTTGAGCTCCTTTTGTTCTTTGCTTTTACTGCTTTCAGATCACTCCATTTTCCTGAGGCTGCTTTTCAACTACTTCATTTTTTTTAAAAAAAAAGGCTCTTAATGTATTATCTCCTTTTCTCATCCCTGCTTTCTAGCTGTACTGCATAGTCATTCCATAAATGGCTACAGTCTTCAGCGGGACATGTGTTTAGATATGTGAGCTTCTTGAAAGCTCAATGCTTTGCTTTTGGAACAGGTTCAATCATCCTGTGCTTGTCCATGCAATCATCCTGTATGGACCTGGGACCAAGCAGTAAGGCAGCTCCTGCACATCTCCAATCAATAAAGGGGAAGAGAAGGCTTGTCTCTTCAAGCTCACTCACTAGTGAAATACTGTACTGAGGCTTGTTTCCTGATGAACTGTTTAGTGAAAACTACGTGCAGGGTTCTGCGTGGGGATATATTAAGGAGTCAGGAAACCAGCTTAAGGTTGAACAAAAGTAATTTGGATTTATTATAAGAACGCAGTTGCGGACAGGAATGGTACCTAGGTTGTTATGCTAGCTTTCCACATGATAAGGAAACAGCTGTAACATGAGAAGTGAATGCCTAAAAACATCAGTGTAAGAGCAAGTGATATTAGACCATGAAAAAAATCAAACAGCTAGCTTCCATTGTTAATCCATCTTCCTCAGGCTGTGCACCAAGATTTTGCGGATTGTGGACACACAAACAGACACACACATGCTCTCACACACAAGAGTTCAAAAAGAGAGTTAAAAATTTCATAGAGTATCAGTTTATGCCCAAGAAGCAGGACAGACAAATGCATATGCAAAGCTCAGGCTGTCCTAGCAATTCTGGTTCCACTATTATAGTTTGCCTGCTCATCCTTGTTCTAGAGGCACATAGTTCTCTGTGCATGGCAGTGTGGGATCATTCCTCACCTCCAGCATTGCTTTCCTCTGATGGTTAGGAGCAAAGAGGAGCTGCAAACTTGCTGTGAGATTGTAAGCCCGGGGGGGGGGGCATCTGAGAACATCTCCGTGGGAGTACCATCCATCCCCAGGGAAAAAGGGGTCCAGAATGAGATGAAAGTGGCAGGAACTGAAGAAAAAAGAGAGAGACAGGAGACACCTAGAGAACAGGAGGAGGAAACCCGAGGGACAGGAGGAGAAAAGCAGTTAGAGGAGGCAGGAAAAGACAGAAGAGTGATTAGTGGAGAAAAAAGAGCAGGAGAAGTAGGAAGTGGGGCTAGAAAAGGAAGAGAGAGAAGGTGGGAAAGAGGCAGAAGTTGGGGCAGCTGAAGGAAAGAGGAAGATCCTGCCTTCATGATGGGAATGGCTCTTGGTTGAGAACCCATGAATCCACAAATGGGGGAACTGATGGTGCCATGGAAGAGGGGGCAGAGAAAGTAACCCAAAAGTTGATTTACATTGTTTTCTTGAGGTTCCCAAAATATATGTTGGGTCTCTTAATGCAGCACAAGAGTTTCCTGTGTCTAATCTGTCATTGTTGCAAGCGATGGATCAAACCATCTTAAAGGAAGAACCCCCACAGAGATCCACATGGAAATAGGTCCATTGGAAGATGGTGGTACGTGTGTATCTATCAGATGTTGTGTCCTTGTAATAGCATACTTTTATTTTTTCAATCTTCAAAAGCCTTGGAGTCGTATTGCAATGTTTAAGTAGTTTTCGATTGGTAACAGGGTTTGTTTGTTTTTTGTGGAGCACCATTTGTAAATGTAGCTTCCTCTCTTGCCTGCAAGCTAAAATTATACTAGGGTATTAAAAATCAAGGAGGAGGAGGAGACAAAAACAGAATTATTTGGGCAGTGGTTCCCAACCTTGAGTCTCCAGACGTTCTTGGACTAAAACTCCCAGAAGCCTTCACCACCTAGCTGTGCAGTCCAGGATTTCTGGGGGTTTGTAGTCCAAGAATATAGGGCGATTTGAGGTTGGGAAGCAGTGCACCAGAGGATTCCTTGTCAGAGGAGATTCCAGAGGCTCCAGGAAGAAGACTTCACAGGACCCAATAGGCACCAGGGTACAGGATGAGCTGGGGTTCTCCAGGAGGAATCCTGAAGATTCACTTTCCCCAGATCTGTAGCTGAAAACCTTTCTTCAGGAGATGGTAGCTCCTCATTTACTCAACTAGAGGGCCTTGTTTCCTCAAGGACCTTGGTCTCTCATGGATTCTGTAGGATTCCACTGTCTGGTAGCTTTCAATAATTTTCTGATGATGGGTCTTCTAGAATGGCCATAGGAGTCTGTCTATACTGTTAAATCTGTTTCTGCCTACTGTTTTGCTTCTCTGAGGTCAAGATACATACTTGACATACTCTAGCCGCCTAGAGTGGACCGTTGGTCCTTCTGCCTACCGTTTTGCTTCACTGAGGTCAAGATACATACTTGAATTTGTCTTCAAATAGCATTTGTTCAACTTTCTTGGAACCAATTATGCCAGCACTTTTCCTGCTGTCCACATTGTGCATTGCTGAAACCCTTGTCAAACGAGTCAAAGCAGGATGAAGAATCCTGTTTGCTTGGTCTTTTTTGCACCACCACCAAGTGGGGATCTAGTTTTTGTTCTACATTACTCCAACTGGTTTGAACTGGTTTATGAAGTAACTAGTAATTCCTAATTCATTCTTTTTCCGCTAACTAAGGCAACTTTATGATCTTCATTATGAAGATAACTACATTGCACTATGATTAAACTTGAACAAAAGATAATTTATTTTGTAGGGAAATTTTAAACTTAAAAGTAAGTTTTATAGTTTCATGGTTGTGGCCTTACCAAATGTTAAGGGATGGTCATTATGTGGTTCTAGTACTTCCTTGTGTTGTTCCTTGTGCAAAGTGGTCTACATGGCCTTCTTATGCTCACTACCATTCACACTTGCCAAAAATTCCCAGCCATGACCATTTTTAAGGCACGGCTGTAACACTGTCTGATTTCAAGAACTCCTTGCAATCTAGCATTAAATTTAGTGAAGAAAGAGACAGACCTTTTAATATTTCAGGCCTGAAAGCCTTCATAATCTTCCTTCTTTTTAATAACAGTAGTAGCAGCAGCAGAAACAACAAGAGTTTCCATCTGTTTCCAGATTTCAATATTTGCTTTTGGTTTTTGTTACTGAAATGATTACCACCACCACCGGCTGCTACTTCAAGCATGCCTTTTGGTAAAACAGGAGCATAAGCAGCTGAAAACAAATAGGAAATGTGTCATAACTTAATTCCCAACTCTCTTCACCCTAAAAAATGTTTTGATGTTGAACTTCTCTGAAGTATTCTCATTTTTCTTCTACACATGGGTTAGAATGTGGTTTTAGAAACCCTACAGACAGTTGTGTGTCTCTCTTTCTATTGTTGGACTGTGTTCCACTTCAACACAGGCACACCTGCTGCAGACAGACACCTGTTGACAGCAGTAGCTAACAAGAGAAAGGACATTTAGGCTGAGGAGCTTAATTAGTATGCAGTACAATTATCTACAGCAAACACATTGCATGTCTCTGGAGTTACTCATGGGATTTGTTGACTGCATAGTTCTGGAAGTATTAGATATTTCGTTTATGACACTGCTGTTGCTTTTGCTTTCAAATGTGATATTAATCAAAAGCAATATATTAATGATATTTATATCACAGTAACATTGGGGAAATGCCTTATATTTCAGACTTTGTTTGAACTGAATTCATTTCTTGCCCTTTTATGCCACCTTCACACCAGTAATGGAGGCATTTGAAAAATAAGTCAGCATTGATAGTCATGAAAAAATATTTCATGGGTGAAGGCAGAGTAGAGGTGAGGAATAAAGGTCACACATGTTGTGATATAGGAGGAAAGATGTCTTAATTCACTAAAACTTGTTTTAAAGTTATAACGTGAAAACACTCTGTTCAAAGTATTTCAAGTACGAAATTAGTGGGACAAGTGAACCTTGACTTATAATAATAATAATAATGTCAATTCCAACTTATGGTGGCCTTTTCTATGGTTCTCTAGGTATAGAGTACTCAGAAGTGGTTTACCATTTCCTTCCTCTGAGAGCATCCTGGAACTGTGCAGCTTGCCCAAGGCCACACGGACTGGTTCTTTTCTTGGGACACACAGTGGGGAAATTTAACTCCCAACTTTTCACGTATGTAACACACTGCTATTCAGCCAGTGATATTGACATTAAGACCAAGTTAATCTAAGGCATTGTGCTAACAAAGAAATAATATTAAATAAATACTATTGATAAATTAGGTCTTCTCCTATACTGGAACCATGTGTGTTGGTTGGGAAAGCAAAGAGGGTGATTTCTAACCTTAGAATTCTCCTTTTATTTATTATTTTTATATATGCAAATAGACACACTGGCTGTTGCTTTGCATAATAAAATGCATAACCTTCACTCATTCCTAGCTGGCAATTAATGAGTTGCCACTATGTTGGCTTGGTATGTGCTTGAAAATTCTAGTGGGGACTCTTTAATTGCTGATTGGGAATGGATGACCATTATGTCTTCTGTTACACAAAGCTGCAGGATTTATGCTAATAAATTGCTATGCAGCTTTGCCTTCCACCCTGCAAAATTATTGTGGACGTTCTTGATTACAGGATATAAATTATTTGTTATTGGTTAATTCTTAATTCCTTAGTCATGTACACATTCTTTGACTTTTAATACCCTAGTATAATATTAGCTTGCAGGCAAGAGAGGAAGCTACATTTACAAATGGTGCCACACAAAAAAACCCCTCTTACCAATGGAAAACATGCACAGAAAAAAGCAGGCTGGGACAAATCCTCTCTTCCCACAGTGCTTCTTGCATTCTGAATTGGTAGAGCCAGGATGGGCTACAGCTTTGTTGAATATATAGTCCCAGGTCTGGCATATAAGTAGATTTCACCAAGATTTAACCACATTCACTTCAATTTCCTTCTTAAAATTTACCAGGTGCTGACCTGTTCTGACTTTATATTTGGATTTGAATTGCTAAATGAAAGAGGTGCTCCCTCTTCAGGACACATTGGAGAACAATATGTTTCTATGCTTCTGGAAGAATGGGACATTTTTAGCCCAATTACTCCTCCTTTGGGTATGAAATTTGTTTGTTCTTTACTATTTGTTTAACTTAATATTTAACTATATTCCTTAACTGTAAACTGTTTTCAATGAAATGCAAAGTATGCTGCATCCTAAGTGTTAACATACCATTTAGCAACTGCTTCAGTTGCTCTATTGGTTAGTTAGGTTCTGTAAGTCAAGCCGTCTGTAAGTCAAGGGTCCACTGTATGCTGCAACCTAAGTGTTAATATACCATTTAGCAATTGCTTCAGTTGCTCTATTGGTTAGTTAGGTTCAGCCCAAAGCTACTGGCCTGTATGTTCAAATGTTCACTTCTATTAAACAAAAACAGCAAGCACAATTTGTGAAAACTCCACAAATTATTTTGCGTATTTCATGAACACACAACACATCTGTGTATCATAGCTCTGTAATACTAGCAATTAGGTATACCTGGAAAAAAAATATGTTTTCACACTGTTACTGAAAAGAAATGACAATTTATGAGTGTTTAATCTCATTTGTAAAAATTAAGAACACAGAGGTCATTAAAAATAACAGCTTACCAAGCAGATGCTGTCCAGGGTTTATATGGTGAGCATTCTGAACGTTGGGGGAGTAGAAAAGAAACCTGTCCAAGGTGATGATACAAAACTTCTCTCAGCAGCTTTTGGGATGAGAATTTGTTTGACCCCCAACAGCAGAATTGCTACTTTGCTTCTAACACAGCAAAACAAGACTTAGGTGCAGCTGCATAACTCTCATCTGGAAGCACTTTCTGATAGTATTTTATTTTTATTTTATTGATTTATAGTATGAACTCAAATCAAATTATGTCATGAAATAATCAGATAACCATGTCACATCAACTCAGACTCTGCTGCAATGTGCTTCCAGCCAATTCGATCCACATGGCTATTCTGCTTGTTGAATCTCACTTGAGGTTCAAAACCGGGAATGATTTTGCTATCTGTACTCCCCTTGCTATCTGCACATCATTAATAAAATAGTCAACCAAATAGTCTTAACTTTGTTCATTAACATGTAATCAACCCAGAAGACATATTTAAAGTCTGTTTAAAGCTAAACCTGCAAAACAAGGCCTCACCAGTTTTACAGTGATCTGCATTGTGCCTCATTTGATCTCCTGAAATCATCCCCAATTAGTATCCACAAAGTAACCTGGCAACATCTGATATTAAAAAAAACCCACAAGTTTCAATCTGCTTGGATTCTAGATGAATTTATGGGAAATCAAACAAAGTTGGAACTCAGTACAAGTCACATTGTAAATTCAAAAGACTTACCCTGGCGGAAATAATGGGCCTTAAATTACTCAGGACAAGAGCTATACACTGAATTGTCTGGTCAGTTTATTATTTATAGTGTTAGAGGAAAAATCTTGTTTTCGGTTCAGCTTGTCGTGATGGAAATTTATTTGTGTGGTTTTTTTAAAGCTTGCCTCTTTAAAATGTTAATGATTGTTTCTTCACTGGAAAGGTTTGCGTCTAGTATGGCCAATAGCTTTAACAACATCTAGTCCTGACACTGAAAACCAATTTATAACGGTCGTATCATCACACAATGGACTCCTCTGGGATTCTGCCATGCTAGGCTGCAGATGATAAAACTGTATTTCAAGCCCTCCATAGTCACAGAAAGCCATCACATCAGAAGAGAATGAAGGCAATACTTTTCTGTGTAGCGTGCTAGTTTTCTAAATGAACAGAGACTATGCTTGTTTTTATTTATCAAAGGGGAGCATTTAAACATACTATTTTTCATCTGCATGGTGAAGCAGAAGTGTATCCACCAAACAGTACCTACCACATGATGGCCAAAATCCTATTGAGCAAATTATGCCTGCAAAAGAGTGATGGCATCCCTAGCAGGGGAAGATTGCTAGTAATTAAAAAGTTCTCCTTCAGGAACTCCAACCTCAGGAGTCACCCAACGCATCTGCAGGTTGCCCACTATCAATCCCATTAGTTCAACTAGATGAACTACAGTGTTGAACTGGAGCTCTTTAATTGTTTTCAGTCTCTCATTGACAGGGATATCATTGTCCTTAGGCAGATGTGATTTACTGAACACGATTCTGGCTGATCATTCAGAATATGCATATCAGATTTTGGTGGCTGTAGTACACTTTGAGATGTTCGTGAAGGACCAACTGTTCAAAAATGGTGTCTGAATTCCCCCCTTCTGTTCTCCTGTATGCATACTATGTTCCAGATCTCCACCACATACTGATAATTTGATTTCTGGGTATTTTAGCTCTATTTTGTTGATGGCAGTCTTGCGTAGACACCCAGCATTTCTGGTGGGCTGCTCTTTTTACCTCGGCCCTTGACCCACTGCACCGTAGCAGCTACGTGAAAAAGAATGATTTTTATTTCTGATGTATATATGATTATACTGTCCAATACAAATAAAATTTCTTAGGAGGTTCCACTGCATGTGTATTTGAATGCAAACACTAACAATACTTGGGTCCTTTTAAGGAGAAATGTGGGATAAAAATATTATAAATAAATAGATTTTAAATAAATACTGGAATTTATTTCCAGGAAACAAGAGAACCAGTGCTTGGGGTCTAGGTATAAGTGGCAGAAACGACATTAGCACGGGCTGCTTCTTATTGGGCAAAATTTGTGTTTTTCCTCAACAAGTTATAAATGCAGATTGACAGCCCCCTGTGGCTAGGAGTGCATAGCACTGAATTCCAACGATGGGTGCCCAGATTTGAGGCATTTCTGTTGCATTACTACTGTCTCCTGTTCCTTGGAAGAAATAAAAGGATGGAGAGAGAAATAGGAAATTTGCAAATATTAAGTCTACCTAAGATATAAACTTGATAAAAACAGTACCCGTGCACAAATGATCTCTTGAAAGTTTTGAAATGGCCACTAGGTAGAAACATTGGTTCCTAAGCATGCTGGGTATCTAGATAAACTCACTGTCCCCAAGCGTTGGCATGTTTTCTCCAGGGCTAGATTCAGCGGTCTCCCTTCAGCAGTACTGGAAGGGCGCAATTGCAGCATCCCTTATGAAGAACTGTCTGTGTGCCTGTGCAGATTAAGTAGTCCAGGCTTTGGCCCATGTTGTGTTTGAATGTATCCTGAGAAAGGCCTTGGGTCCTTTTAAGGAGAAAAGCAGGGTAAAAATATTTTAAACAAATAAGTAAGAGGATAACAGACTTCTCTACCCCATTATGAGGAAATGTCCGTGCAGGCTATTTACATGGTATCTGGAGTATTTGATGGCAGGTAACAAGCCATCACAGAGTCTGTGGATAAGTTTTTGTTCTCTGTTGTTAAGAGCTTGAAAAAAGACTCAATCAGTATGATTGTTTTTCCTAAATATGTGTATGCTTTAATGATTGCTTAATTATTTTGTTCTTATTGTTGTACAGTTTCAAGCCATTTGTGACCATGAAATAAAGACACAGAGAGAAAATTGGGATTCCCCCATACACTTTTTAAAAATCACTCTGCAGCTTTACTCAGCCCCATAAGTAAGCAAAATAATCCTGAGCTCCCCCTTGAGAACTCCTCAGAAATTCCCCCCTTAAAATGCTTAAAAACTACTCTTTAATTGTGCTTTTTTAAAAAAAAACACACATCTGATTCTGTATAATAGATTCCCCCCACTTGGTTGTTTTACTCTTTTTAGATTTGTTACTTTTTTATAGGAAGACTCAAATTACCAATTTAGTTCTTTCTTACTTTCCTTCCCTGTATTGTTTACAGATGGAAGGGGCAGAGGTTGAAAAGGAATGCAAAAATAAACAAACACAACAGCTGTCTTGACCTGAATTATGGCGAATAGAATACATTTTGCTGCTCCAGTGCCTAGGAAATGCTGTGGATTTTCTTTCTTGGCTGTAATCCATTATTAGTTGCCAGTAAGTAGAGAGTGGGGACAAAGGCACAAAATGGGTCTTGTCAAAGCTCATGGGGCCATGGCATTTGTGATGGGTTTCTGAAGACCTGCATGACACAAACCTTGCGCCAGACAAAATACTAATAGAGTCATCGGTCTGACACATCCATAATGCTGCAAAGAAAGCTTGCTAATTCTCTCCGTAGTTGCTCCCTTTTTACCTAAGGCTGTGAAGAGCTGGTGCTCAGTGAAAGGAAGTAAACGGTCACCAAGCATCTCCTATGATTCTTATTTTAGGGTGTTACCCACTCCATTAAGGATGCGGGTGAGACCAGCTTTTCTTAAGGAGCATGGTATACAAATGTGTGTGATTACTGTGCTCACTTGGCTACAAGATTTACTTTCCCCTTCTTCCTACTCAAGTTGAGGAGAATGCCCAGGGCTTTCAGATACTACAATTCACATCCAGGGAACAGTTTGGTGTAGAACAAAATACCTGAGGCATCTGCAGCCTGTGTGCATTAAATGTAAAAAACCCCACACCAATCTAATGTAATAAATTTTAGAGGCTGTTGTCTATTTTTTGGAACTGGTTAAATTAGACCACTGGTAATTTGACAAAGAAACTAAAACGTAAAGTGTTGTAATGAGAAAGATATACTGTGGCTGAAATCCGGTAGTAAGTTGCAACTAGACTAGGCCTATTCAATTAATAGAACTTAGAGGAGTTGACTCGCCAAATCTCCACTAATTCAATGAGCCTACTCTAGCTGCAACGTACTACTGGATTTCAGCCTATAGATCTTCCAGAAAACATGCAACTTACTTCTTGGGAAAGGACAGAGAGGCAAAAATGTAGATAAATGAACACTAACGTACATATCAATAGCAAGTTACCCCTTGTTGTCTATAGTTCAGAGAGAAAATGGCAAAACTGACCACATACAGCTAATATTCATCTTAACTGAAAATCTATAGAAGACCTTTCCTTAAATTTATATTTAAAACGGGTATATTTGTATTTGTGTAGAAAACAACATGAATTGGGGTTATGCTTACTTTTTAGGTTGAGGTTCGTTAGGAGCATTTGCAGGAATATAGTAAAGGAATTAGAATGGATACAGTCCACCTAAATCCACCACTTTAAAATGTCATTAATTTTAATTGGGGGAAATTAAATGCATAGACAAATCTTTCAGTTAAACCAACTGGACTTTAAGATATATATCTTTTACTGGATTGTATCCATTTTAGCTATTCATCTAATATACATGGAAAAGCTGTTCCTTGTTTAATTTTTATTTGAATGTGAAACTGTATGATCAAAATTTAGATTTGACGTTTAAAACAGACAATATGTAATAACACTCACCATTTGATGCTTTCAGGTACTGTTATCTAAGCAAATCAGAACTTTGGAAATTACATTTTAAAAAAATCAACTTTATTACCATGATAATAAATAAAAACAAGTACATTTCAGGCCAGACCGTAATACAAAATATTTTTAGAAAAAGTAAAAAAAAAACCACTGATGTTCTTGCTCAGCTAATATGTACAATAAACCATGGAAATCCTCTAAAATATTGATTCACAGCTTGATCCTCCAAGTGCTGGGCCAGCACAAATTGCAATGAAATGCCTCAGACTTGAGAGCAAAGCTACTGCCTGGAGCTAACAAACTAACTTGGTTGAGTATTACAGTTCTGTTTCAGAGTAATATAAAACTAATGAACAATTTAATCCACAATACATACAAGCAACCAACCTTTGTTTTCATAACATCTCTTTCCAGTCATATACCAGAAATCAGAACCAATACCTGGAGCACAAGACCACCATGGAATTCACAATCCTCTTACCATTGACTATTCTTTTTTATCTCCACATTTTGACTGTGGTTAGAATTTTATCACCATAATACATTACCTATTTGCATCATTATAACCTCAGTCAAGTTTTTCCAATCTATATCTGTATCTGTACCTGATCTGGATCTGTTATATAAGAAGAAAAAGTGGCTTGTTTGTTTCCACGTATAGGATATTAGTAAGTCAAAGATACCACTACTGCACTGCAAACAGTATCATCCAAGGGTAAGTGGAAAGGGTGAAAAAAAAAACACAGAGAAATAAGACGGCATGCACTTATCCTCCTCTGCATGGATAAGCTTAGATCAGTAAATCTAGGCTTCAAAAGTAGGATTGCAGATGTTTGGAAGAAGTTAACACTGCTTTTTCTCATGCATCTCTATGGAATCATGTCTTGTATTTATAAACCCCTGAACCAGATCATGCACATGATTTGATCTAACATTGTAGCAGCTATGAATGCAACCTGATTAATAGTGCCAATGGAAGACAAATACCAATATGTATTATGGGTGAATTATGGATGAAGTGCTAATAGATTATATTCCCTGTCTTGTCAGGGAAAACAGACATAGCCAGGGTAAATCTACAGACTTCAGTTCATCAGTTATTAACCACAATATTATATTAAACACTCATCAAGACCCAACACTGTTCATACACAATGTTTTTCCAGGGAAGCTAAGAAAATACTAAATTATGGGATTGCAGATGTGGAGACACTTGAGTGATGGCTTATGAGGCGATGCCCATGAAGATACAGACCAGTTCTAATTCTTGAAAAAAGGCAGCAATTCATTGGTAAGACCCTACGTGTACTGGACCAAATCTGTGTTAAATGTAATTTTGTGGAGTAAGATCTAGATTTGATTTTTAAAAAAGTGTGATCTGAAATGATATTGCCCAGTTTTAGAATGCATGGAATGGAAAAATTTAAAATGACATGAAGAACATTTGCAAATGCAGTGGTGCCCCGCATAGCGACGTTAATCCGTTCCGGATTAATTGTTGCTATGCAAAAACATTGCTAAACGGAACCGAAAAAGCCATAGGAACGCATTAAACTTCATTTAATGCGTTCCTATGGCTCCCAAACTCACGGTTGAGTGAAGTTCCTCCACAGCGCCGCCATTTTCGCACCCTCAGTAGGCGAGGGCAGGGCACAAAAACACTTGCGATAGCCATTTTAGGCACCCGGTGGCCATTTTGAGCCATTTTAGGCACCCGGTGGCTGTTTTGGAACCGCTGATCAGCTGTTTAAAAAAACATCACAACGCTTACCGATCATCGCAGTGCAATGTTTTACCCATTAAAACATCGCAATGTGATCGCATTAGCGATCTAAAAAATTAGATCGCTATGCGGATTCATCGTTAAACGGTGCACTCGTTATGCGAGGCACCACTGTAAATCATATTCACCATGCAAATCGACACTGAAATGTAGATGCTTATGGTTCAGGATCAAATTCATGGATCATAATCAGTGTTGAATAATACTGGGTATAACTTATAATTCTTAAACAGAAACAAACTATTGACGAAACAGGACATATTGATTTAACATTTCACTTGGTATGGCAAGGAGGAGTAGAGACAGGATAGATATTCAACTTCTCTGTGTTGGTATCCAAGTTGTAAAATGGGGAAAATCTTAAACACATTACACAGTGTGCCTTATTTCTAGGTAAATGCGCACAGGACTGTAAGCACCAACTACTGTTTTAGGCATTTATCCAATCCATATTTATCTATTTACCATGTTTCCCTGAAAATAAGAGAGGGTCTTATATTAATTTTTGCTTAAAAAAACGCATTAGGGCTTATTTTCAGGGAATGTTTTATTTTAAAGTCATGTCATCTTCTGGGATGTGGTGGCTCTGCGGGCTAAACCGCAGAAGCCCCTGTGCTGCAAGGCCAGAAGACCAGCAGTCGTAAGATCAAATCCATGCGACAGAGTGAGCTCCCGTCACTTGTCCCAGCTCCTGCCAACCTAACTGTTCGAAAGCATGTAAAAATGCAAGTAGATAAATAGGTACCACCACGGTGGGAAGGTAACGGCATTCCGTGTCTAGTCGCGCTGGCCACGTGACCACGGAAATTGTCTTCAGACAAACACTGGCTCTATGACTTGGAAACGGAGATGACCACCGCACCCTAGAGTCAGACACGACTGGACTAAATGCCAAGGGGAACCTTTACCTTTACCATCTTCTTCTGATTGCTGCACAATGCTGCACAATGGTGGAGGGCAGGGTTTCACTTAACTACGGCTTATTTTTGGGGGAGGGCTTATATTACGAGCATACTGAAAAACTATACTAGGGTTTATTTTCAGGTTAGGTCTTATTATCCGGGAGATAGGGTAGAAATAGGACTTGTTGAACATAATAGACCTTCTCTTTATGTAAACACAGAATTGCATTCTATATTGCTGACCAAGATACATTCCATTTTTATACATAATAACAACAAATACATCCTTGCATTAAAAGAGATATAGTATAGTGAAATAGCACTACAGAACATTCTACATGCAGATTGAGAGGGTTTTTTGTTATGAGTACCATGATCAAAACAGTTGGCACTGCACAAACAGTTTACTTAGCTTTGCAGCTTTGCATTTTGTAATAAATAATCCTATATGAGCAAACAGTTTTTGGCACTCCTAATACATACAAAACATGAACCGTTTTAATACATACAAAACATGAACCATGTTACCTTATGTCTGATACACTTTAAGGTAGAGAACTAATGGGTCTTACAAGTACATTAATAGGATAATTGTACAATGTCTTCTCAGACCAAAGCTCCACTGCCTTCACCAAGACTTACTCCCAGATACATGTATAGAACTGCAGCGTAAGAGTATAATCACGTGCATACGTAATGACACAACTGGGCAGTCCATTTATTCTGACCTGGAATGGTCTCAATTGTGCTAAACAGAGTCATTCTGAGAAGCAGTACGTCATTTGTGGGTGATCTTTCAATCCAAATGCATGGATCAACCACAATGCACCTCAAGCAGCCCTGTTTAGCATGATCCAGACCCATCTTCCTTCCCTTTAAAGGGAAAAAATTCCCTCTCCTGTCTCCTTTTCCATGTTTTGCTTAAGCCACTTGATGATCTTGAAAACTGTGACTTCCCTGCTACTCACCTGCGAAGGGGAAGGGTGAGAAAGTTTTGAATTTCTTTTCCATTTTTGCTAACTCATACAGCACACCAGTAATGCACTGAATTTTTTTTCCCCAAAAGGCCCTTTCAAAGCATCACCAATGCAATAGAAGCAATTAAAGAGAAACAGAAATTTTCCTCTCCCTTCTCCTCCACAGGCAAGCACCAAATAAGCTTTCCATACTCAAGGTTGTTAAGAGGGTTAGCAAAGGGTCAAGCTTAAGCCAACTGCTTTCGTTTCATCTCAGCAATCACACAAGCTGGAACCAAACCAGAATGGAATGATCCTACCTGCATAAGGGGGGGGGGAGAGAAAGGAGGCCCTGACAGAGACCCCCAAAGTTGCAGGTACACATTGATTAGGAATGGGCTGGTTTGCAATGGCACATGTGTTGTGTGGTCACTGGAAAAAACCAACCAACCAGCCCGTCACCAATTCAGATCAACAGTTCAGTGCACAGGACTGCTCTGTTAAATCTCTTAATCCAAACATCAGCACAAGTCACCAGCAACTGGGATTGCAGGACACAACTGGTCATAATCAGTGAATGTATAGTGCAAACAACTCTAGGAAAGGTTACTCAGCAAAGAAGCCATGGCTGTTAAATACTCTAAACTAAAGCTAACTGCATCCATATATCTAAATTTTATTTGATCAATCAAAATCATTGCAAATCTGAAGTAGTAATAGGCAAATTCACTTTGGCTGAATTTCAAACAGGCTCAGATTTTCAAAATTTGCTTCATAGGCATTTTTTTTAAAAAAAGCATGCTTATTTTCAGGCAGGTGCCTCTAAGTTCATAATGGTAACTAATGCATGTTTAGTGATGATGACCCCCAAGATTACATGTGTTCCACAGTGCCAACCATGATCCAAATTTACTTTCAAATTAACCTCTCATCACCACCATGACAAAGAGGGATGAGAAAAAGGATTAAATAAATATTTGTCAGAAAATGATAAAGAGAATTGCATGACTCAAACAGAGAAAACCTGCTTTGGCAGGTGATCCAGTAATATAGCTCTCAGCAACAATCCACTGAAATAAAAGGGGGGAGCCATGTGGCCATTTGAAAATACAAATGCAAGAATAAGTGATACCTTTATAGGCCACTAATAAAAAATATAAAAATCATACAATATGCGATATACAATATCCAATGTCGTGGGTAAATCCCATTTCTTCAAAGCAAGTACCAAAAGCCTAAACATTCATGGCAAAATGGAATTTGCTAGGAGGTTACTTTTAAATATAAAGTACTTGGCAAGATGGATTTTGCAATAATCCAGAATTCTACTGAGAGTAAGGAACACTTACATGTGCACATATAAAACAGCTGGCTCTGCAAGCCTGGTTGTCTGAACGCTGGCGTTATATGCTAAAAATTTCATAAAGTGTTCTGAGTCAGAGAAGACTTTGGAGAAATAGCATTTGATACTTAAAACGTCTTTACAAGTCTTCACTTCTTCCCTTGCAGTTATTGTCTATTGAGTCTTGGATCCAGTCCCTTCTGTTTTGTTGTTTTGGTGGAAATATTCTTTTATCACTAGAAACCCCACCGGTTAGGTACTGTTGGTGTTTCAAGCACCTATTCATATTTAGGTCGGAGACTGTCTGCTCCTTTTAATAGTTTGTCAGCAATTGCCCCCATATTTTTCTTCATAACTTTCAGAGGATTTTCATGCAGCAGCATCTGTGTTAGGTATTTTTCTCGCTTAATTTTGCTCTCAGTTTTCTTTGACACATCTGGGATGATGTATGAAATAACAAATTTCACAAAGTAGATGATATGCTGGAAGGAGAAGTTAATATAATCAGTGTCAGGTACTCAGAATATATAACAATTATTAGAGAGAAAAACATTGCCCATGTACTGACATGTGCCCTCATTTATAATTGTAAGTGCTCTCAAGAACCTCTGTTTATTGTCTTTTATTCCAACAGCACGAGAAAATTCCCAGGTAACAAAGCAATGTGTCCACTGTCTGGAATTTTTCAGGGTGTAATAGAAGAATCTGAATGAGGAAGCTTCTTCGGGAGATAGCAGTCAGTCCCATAGTCAGGTCTCTGCTGGCTGGATCAATGGCACTCTGAAGGTCTGTCAAATGGAAGATGGAAAGATCTGCTACCCTACAGAACAGCACCCAAATCAATGGACTTCAATTAGAAGGAAGGATATTCCAGTTAAATATCAGGAAGGATTTTCTGGTGGTAAGAGCTGTGAAATGGACTACCTCGGAAGGTGGAGGACTCTCCACTGAAGGGGAGCCTTCTGAAGTTGTCTGTTCTACTGGTCTTAAAACAGAGGCTGTCAAGGATGCTTTAGCTATGGATTCATTCACTGCTGAAAAGTGAGACAGAATTCCCCTTGTGATCCCTTCCACCTCATAGAATTTTATGATTTCATGGTTCTAGGACACATCACCACTATCATCCTCAGAATCAGATGAACTACCAGACAAAACCTCCAATTTGAATGTCTATCTCAGGAGTTTGATGTTACATAATGACATGAAAGTCCTTTAATGGTCCAAGTAGCTCATCTAGAGTGGAAGCTGGTCATACTACAGATCATGAGAAGGCTACAGTAGGCTTTCTGCTGAGTTAACACATTGCTACTGTTCTATCCAGGGAGCAGAGGCAAAGCTCTCTGAGCTGTCCATGGTCCTGTTTCAGCTAACCCTTATATTAGAAGGCTTATGCCGTAACTTGTTTTAGTGCGTCACATTTACTCCAAATGAATCCCACCTACACAAGAAAGGCTGAAATCCTCTTGCCCTAAGGTACACTATATAAGACTGATAGCATCATCATCAGCAATGATTTTTGACAAATGAAACATTTCTGACTTCTCCCTCTCAGAGGTACTGAGGCTTCTTTATAATCACTTTCACCATCAGGAAACTATTGGGGCTGCTGGATAGGAAGTGGAATTATTTAATTATAAAAAACATTGCCAGGATGACTTCAGTGATGGCAACTTTCTGCAGGAATTAAATACTTCCTCCTCCTGTCTAGCAGCCCCTGATAGATTCCCGACAATGAAAATGATTACAAGGGAGCTTTGGTGGTGAGGCAGAAATGTTTTATTTCTCCAAAACCATTGATGCCAGCATCAGCTTTATGCAATGTAACTTATACAACAGGATGCAATATCTTGCTTGCCTACGCTTCTACCGGTCAGATACCATTAGTTTTCTTGTGGGCCTTGAGTGATTGCACCATGGGATACTCACAGACTAGTCTCATTTACTGAACTGAAAAATATACAGTGGTGCCCCGCATAGTGACGATAATCCGTTCCGAAAAAATCGTCGCTATCTGGATTCGTTGCTATGCGGGGCAAAAAAAGCCCATAGGAATGCATTAAAACACGTTTAATGCGTTCCTGTGGGCAAAAAACTCACCGTTCTCCGGAAATCCTCCATGCGGCCGCCATTTTCGGTGCCCGGGAAGCGAGGAAAGGGTGCAAAAACACTGCGGGTGGCCATTTTCTTTACCCGGCGGCCATTTTGGAACTGCCGATCAGCTGTTAGTAAAACCATCGCTATGCGAAAATCGTTAAGCGAAACGCTTACCGATCATCGCAAAGTGATGTTTTACCATCTAAAACATTGTTATGTGATCGCTTTTGCGATTGCAAAAAAACGCGTCGCTATACGGATTCGTCATTAAACGAATCGCTCGTTATGCGGGGCACCACTGTAGTGTCTCTGTAAGCACTTCTGCAGGTTGGTAAAGAGGTTTCCCAAAGCATGTTGTATCGGTGGCAGCTTGATCTTCTCTAAATGTAGTTCTTGTCTTCTAACAAATTATCAGTCAGGAACTATTTATTTGTGTAATTGAGATCTCACAGCTACATGCTGTTTTGTGTAATATGAACCTGAAGGACCAATACCAGGCCTATAACTTCATGCGTATTTGGCGAAACAGTAATGTCCCTTGCAAAGTCTTGCCTTTTCTTCATAGACTGTCAGTAGCAACTGTACACCATTCTTGGCAAAGCATGGCTTTGGCGGGTATTGATTTCTTGAGCAATAGCTACTCACTGCAGGAGTCACTTGCAGTAAACAATATGGATGGCTCAGAAAGGGCTTAGTGGGGCCTAAAAATACAGAGGGGCTTAAAATCAATATCATATTATAAGCAAACAAATAAAGCAAATTAAATTTTTGATTTGTCCTTTCTACCTCAGTCTTCATGCAAGCAGTGAAAATTCAGCAGTCCATATCTGCTCTGTATTTGTTCATCTGCTAACCAAGACGTCCATACAGAAAATGAAGAAAACCCACTAGGATAAGTCTTACCTATCTTCAGTGTAATTTTCTTCATAACTTTTATACTATGATCTGAAATCACGGAGACAGTTTTGTGTTTGTTTTTGTTTATTAAACAAAAGTTTTTCATGTGTACCTCTTTATCAGACATCTTCCCTTGTATGGCATTAGGCCGAGCAGCATGCCTTAGATATACTCTAATCCATGAGAATTGGAGGACTGGAGGAGTCCCAAACCGGAATTAAGATTGCCGGAAGAATTATCAACAACCTCAGATAAGCAGACAATACCACTCTGATGGCAGAAAGTGAGGAGGAATTAAAGAACCTCTTAATGAGGGTGAAAGAGGAGAGTGCAAAAAATGGTCTGAAGCTCAACATCAAAAAAACTAAGATCATGGCCACTGGTCCCATCACCTCCTGGCAAATAGAAGTGGAAGATATGGAGGCAGTGACAGGTTTTACTTTCTTGGGCTCCATGGTCATTGCAGATGATGACAGCAGCCACTAAATTAAAAGACCACCTGCTTCTTGGGAGGAAAGCGATGACAAATCTAGACAGCATCTTAAAAAACAGAGACATCACCTTGCCAACAAAGGTCGGCATAGTCAAAGCTATAGTTTTTCCAGTAGCGATGCATGGAAGTGAGAACTGGACCATAAAGAAGGCTGACCAGTGAAGAATTGATGCTTTTTAATTGTGGTGCTGGAGGAGGCTCTTGAGAGTCCCCTGGACTGCAAGGAGAACAAACCTATCCATTCTAAAGGAAATCAACCCTGAGTGCTCACTGGAAGGACAGATCCTGAAGCTGAGGCTTCAATACTTTGGCCATCTCATGAGAAGAGAGGACTCCCTGGAAAAGACCCTGATGTTGGGAAAGTGTGAAGGCAAGAGGAGAAGGGGACGACCGAGGATGAGATGGTTGGACAGTGTCACCGAAGCAACCAACATGAATCTGACACAACAACAAATGTCACCTTTCTCCCCAAAAGGAGCCAAGGTGGCTTACATCATTGAAACTGTATTTAGAAGCTAAAACAGTAAGGAGGGGTAGACATAAAGATTGGTGCAGGCAGCTGTGGAGGGAAGCCATTAAGAAATGCACTGACATATCATATGTGGTGGTCATGCAAAAACAGTATTGGAAAAGAGTACATGCTGTGTTGCAACAAATATTGCTTTGTAAGGTTCCACTAAACCCATAATTGTTCTTATTGAGTATGATACCTGATAACATAGATAAGTCAAAGGAACATATAGTTATATATATTGTTACTGCAGCAAGAATTCTCTATGCCAAAAATTGGAAAAGTCCGACGATACCGAAACAAGAAGATCTCATTGAGAAGATACGGGAAATAGCGGAAATGGATATTTTTATTAGAAGTAATGAAGGACTGTTCTTTACAAAAGGCAACAGAAAGATGGGACTTATTTTATAAGTGGACTAAATCAACAGGCAACGTATGAACAGCATATAATGAAATGTGAACTTAAACCTAGAAGGCAGAAAAGAGTAAATAGAGCAACGTGGAATTTTGATATAGCAATAGGTATAGAATGGATGTTAGTATGTGATTGTTTCTCTTTTTCCCCTTTAACCTCAACTCCCCTTTTCCTTTCTGTCACCCCTCTTGTTAAAAAATAAAAAATTATTTAAAAAAAAGGACATGGAAAAAAAAAGAAATGCACTGACATGGTCTTTAATACAAAACACTGAGGAAACTTGTTAAAGTTCAAGATGGAAGACACTAACCTCCATGACAATGATGAATGATAATTTGGCTGCAATAACATGCCAGTAGTAGATATTATGTTCATACTGATACTCATGTCCCGGAGGGTATCGGAAATCACGGTACCTAACACAATGGAAGACATTCAGGAAATCAATCCCACACAATCTGCAATGATACACTAAGGCCAGAAGGGGGAGTAAAACCTGTCCCCTTCCTCTTTTCTGTTTTAACGCAACACATTATACAGTATACGCAGAAGGAAAATTAGATCTTATGTAGGCTTTACAACTGTTGAAATGCATAATTTCATCTTCATATTATTCTGCAAAGCCACAATTATCTTTTAGGATTTTAAAAAAGTAAATAAAAGAATATCTTCATTCCTTTAAACAAAATACTATACTTGCCTGCATGTTGTTATGTTGGCAAACCGTGGATGATAAGCCGGCTTGCTTGCATTTTTGAAATGTGATACAGCAAAGACTGAAAGTGTGTTGTTTATGTAACCCTTCATGGTATAGTTGCTGTGATCTCCATAGGGAGGAACAGAAAATGACCAGTAATAAACAAGGCGAGGAATCATATCAGAGGTAAAAGCAATGATCATTGCCTATATTTGAGAAAAGGGAGAAAGTAAATAAAATTCAACACATGAGCAAATAATTTTTCTATTCTATGTTTTCCCTGAAGAAAGAGGGAATCATCTTATTGTATTAAATCTCTCCATGACAAACAGCTGGGGAACCACATTTTGTTATTGCACCTATATAAGCTATGTACAATGGCCTGCATTTGATGAAAATATAACCAATTGTTTGTTTGTTTTATTTATAGCCTATATTTCTCCCAATGAGCTTGAGAGGGCATCTACAGTTCTTCTCCCCCCCCCCAACTGCCTCACAACAGCCCTGTCAGAGAGGTTAGATTTTAAGAGCTTGATGGAATAGAGATTGCCCAGTGAAATTTATGGCCAAGTGGGGAATTTGAACCCTGGTCTCTTGAGTCCACGTTCAACACTCTTAACTGTTACACCACAGAACTTCACAGAATGTTGTATGTGGTATCCAATACACACTACTGTTAAGCACTGCATCAATTTCTAGTCTCTGTCAACCTGCTGCAGCTCCTTCTTTAAATTGCACACTTTAGACCTCAACTGGAAAATTTTAGTATTTGATCCATTGACTTTTACAGTGTTCTAACTTTCCTCCACGAAGCTCAGAATAATAGAACAGAATAGAAGCAGTGGGATAGTATGAGCTGTTTTGAAATTAATTTTTCACTGAGGTGAAATTCAGATTTATTTAGTTCCAGAAATAAAGTTACTTCAGAAGTTTACAGACTACACTCTTCTAATGGAATGTCAGCTCATGACAGACTTCATCTGGGACCAACTAAGGATGGGATTCAGAATAAATGCTCACTATGTACATATTTAAAAATACAATTTAACAGATGTGTACCCTGTATTTCATAGTAAAATATTCACAGAGCAGATTGCAGCATACTTTGAAATACAGTGGACACAATCATGCTGGTGTTTGTATTAGGTTCATGTAACTTGCTGTAACTAACTGACAAGATGTCAGAGCATATTTCGAGCATGTACCTGGTCAAACACCTGATTGCACAACTGAGATGCACCCCAAAATTGCATGAATTAGCAACTATTAGCTGGAGCAAGTTATGCAAATCATATACAAACAACAAGGGGATTCTTGCCAGTAAGAAATCCAATCCTACAAACCACAATAGTAAATACACATTTAAAATGACAAAATAACAAGTAAGATACCAGCAACAAAGCCTCATTCAAAATAAATGATAAAAGGATCAAGTTGTCAGACAAAAAACTCTTAGTAATCACAGTAGGGTAAATGTCTAGCACTACCTTGCAACATTTTACTGCTTTTCCTATATAAGCTTCACATACTGCCTCATCTCTCTTCACTTCACAACTGCTTTGGAATTCAGCCGATTTTATTTGTTTTGTTCCATTAACTTTTCCCAAGGCATTTCTTTCACATGCACTTTCACCTCTTTTCACTTCTGCCCCTTTTTAAAATGATCTCCAGATGTGCTATAGTCAGCTGTGCAAAAGAGAGTTAATCCCTTGGTTGTTGTGGGTTTTTCGGGCTTCTTGGCCGTGTTCTGAAGGTGGTTTTTCCTAACGTTTTGCCAGTCTCTGTGGCCGCCATCTTCAGAGGACAGCAAACTGTGCTCTTGAAGATGCCGGCCACAGAGACTGGTGAAACGTTAGGAAAAACCACCTTCAGAACACGGCCAAGAAGCCCGAAAAACCCACAACAACCAAGGGATCCCGGCCGTGAAAGCCTTCGCGAATACAGAGTTAATCCCTCTCTGGATTTCCTAAAGGGCAACATGCCCCCCCCTGCAATTATTAGACTAATTTGTTTTGGAGAATATCATAGTGGGAAAATACTCTGATTTCTGTTTTCCAAAATGTAATGAGTTTTCCATGTAGTCTGTAACAAATGCAAACTTGGTCTTATAAATGGCAACATAAGCTCAGGGAGAAAGAGGTCAACTGTGATGGAGGAAATGTGAGTCCCAAGAGAGTTCTCACACCATCCACTTAAAGCTATGTTGGTGCTGCAGAACCAAGACAGAAAGTAGAAAGAAATATTGTAGAAGAGGCACATCATCAATGATTGCAGTGTAGATTCACAGTGAATGTCGGTGTTGCTACATTTTTCTTCACCTACTGTGCATTTCCGGTCATTGTGTGAACAGTTAATAGGGCTATCACCTGATTAAAGAAATCTTAATCGATTTTCCCTAGTGACTGTCTGTCTGAGAGAGGCTTTTAAATGGATTGTTGTGCCTTGTTGGCTTTGAATGTGTTTTTGGTGTTGACATTGTTTACCGTTTTAGTGTGGTATGTACTGTATTTTTCCATTTATGAGATGACCTACAGTATAAGACAACCCCGCCTTTTCTAACACCCAAATTAGAAAATTTGAGGGCAGTGCACGCGCACCCCTTTGATCCTTGCACCCTTTCCCAGCTGCCTTTCCCACTTTCTAAGCCCTGCAGAGTTTAGGAAATGGCTAATGCAGCCATGAAAGGGTGGCACGCGTGCACCCCTTTGATCCTGACACCTTTTCACGGCTGCTTTCCTCTGTAGCTTCGCAAAAGGCAGGGAAAGCGGCTGCCTGCCCTGTATAAAATGACCCTCAATTTTTGGTCCAATTATTTAAGTAAAAAGTCTTGTCTTATACATGGAAAATACGATATTTATTCTTTTTAAAATATCTGCATACTTACTGTTTTAGCTTTACAAAGTCTTTGATATAAGCTGCCTTGGGTCCCTTTTAAGGAGAAAAGCAGGGCAAACACATTTTAAATAAATAAATAAATCTTCCTATGAGAAAGATATGAGTTTTGGAGGAAGAAAAAAAAAATCCTTCTTTTAATTTTGTTCAACCATGTTGCAGCAGCTGCTGTTTTACAAGAAGCTTTCATTCCAGGGTGACAGGTTGGGGAATGACTCTTCTAAAATGGTGTCAATCTCTAGTACTCCTGGGAGACTAAAACCTGGCCAATGCTATTCAAAATGGGTTTAGGTTGCTTCCTGTTATAGGACGAAACCCAAATGGCAGCCTTAGCAGAAGAGGGGTCATTTGCTTTTGTCCTTGCAGGGAGAAAGATAAAACAGAAACTAGTATTCAGAGGCTGCATGTCCACTTTTCCATCTGAGAAGGAGAAGGGAATGTGTAGTAGCTCATGGCTGGTTTGGGTGAAATAAAATGGCCTCACAGAGATACAGAAAGTGATATGGCCTGAACTGGGTGCTAATTTCCAGCCAATGCAGGATCTGCAAAAGCCCAGGCTAGTGCCAGAGCTAGGTGAATTGTTCCCTAGCAATGAGTAGGAGGAGTCCTTTGGTGGTTCACAGGGGCATGAAATTGTCCTTACTGAAGTGAAGGAGAGGAAGTGTTACTGAGAGTGCATCCATGCCTCGTCAAGATGAATAGGCAAATGAAAAATCAAATGACCTATGAAGCAACAGATGAGTCTGTCAGATACAGTTGCCGGGCCTTGTGTTACTGGGCTACTGGATCTAGCTCTTCCCTGCCTCCCCAGTTCCAAATCTGTCTTGGTATAGAGCAAAGAGGGAGAATTTCCCATTTCTTCCTTACTTCGATTGTCTCTTTTTCTACTGGCTCTCAAGGGCTCCTGGTCCAGAACAAGCAGCCTTGGTGAGCCGGGTTAGTTCCAACAACAGTAGAACCATGGAAACCATGGGACTTACACAAATGGCAACAAATCCCATTTATTAACTGTATCTACTCTAATCGGTATTGATAATTAGATTCCACTTCCCTTATTAGGGATGGGATTTTTTTGGGGGGGGGGAAGAACTCCCAGTTCCATCATTTGGCAGGAATCCCCCAGGGCCAATTATAGGACTGGGGACTATCAACAGGGCAGGAGGTAGAGCAACCCACTCACCTCCATGCTGTTCTCATGTTGCTTTTTTCAGCCCTCTGAAAAGGGCACCAGGAACCACTGCGGGTTGCAAAGATTCCCAGCCTACTCATAAAGGTGCACTGGAGAAAAATTCCAAAGGAGGTTGCCTCCATAGATGGAATCATCACAACTCACAAAGGTGCCTGGTGTGCTTTTCAGAGGGTGTGAAGAAACACAGGAATTGCATGGAGGTAAGAGTGTTACTCTACCTCATGCCATTTTGATTGCTCCCAGTCCCATAATTCAGTCTGGAGGTTTCTTGCCAAATTGTGGGACTGGGAGTTCTCCCCCCCCCAAAAGTCCCATTTCTAATCCCTATATTCTGCATCTGTATGTTTGACTCAATGCCTGTGAAAAACCTAACACTGTGATTTTCATGAAAACCTGACGGGTGATTAGGGGCCTCAATACAGGAGCTTGTTGGTCCCTAATGGTCTAGAATTTCTTTCCAACTTTGCACATTCATCAAATTTTTGACAGCTAGATGATAGTTTCACAGATTTGAATTTGTCTAGGATAAAGGGGAGTTTGGATGTGGAAGAAACGCGTTTTTGACTGGCTTGTCTAAAATGGAAACATTCTTGGAGGGCAACTGCTTTTTATTTTATTTTCGGAAATCAAATGCAGGGTTAGCGGTTATGCTGCCTGCTGTAGAAATCTGCTTCCAGTAAGTTCAGTTTTTCTATTTGTAAACAAACACTTGCTAGAAAGGCACCAACTACATAGCACAGCTCCTAAAGGTTTGATTGTTCGGGGAAGGGGGAGAGCCTAATAGTATATAGAATATTTTTTTATTTGTTAAAAGTATAGATTTAGGAAATAACTGTACAGAACAAAGATGTTACGAGTTGACTGAAGACCACCTCCCCTAATGAAATCTACTTTTGGTCAGTAACATTTAGAGCTCTGTGGTTCTTGTAGATGCACGTACATTTGTCACCACAGCGAGAATGGCTATTCCTTGCATGATGGGTTGCCACGCTCCTATATCCTGAGCTTTCTGAGGAACCATGCGTCTGAACTGTGTTGTTAACTTCCAGGCATCCACGCGAATTTCCAGTAGATTGTTAATGAGAGCCAAAAGGGGCGCCAGCGGGAATGAAGCCACAAATAATGTGACGAATCCAAACTGTATAACTGAACAATAACAAATGTGATATACATGGATGAGACATGAACATTATGTAGATTTTCAGAGGTCAAAACAGCCTAAACTGTGGTTCAGAAAATCTACTCTAGTCTACCTGAAAAGACCAAATGGGAGTGGAAAATCTAGTCTACCTGAAAAGACCAAATGGGAGCAATCGATTACAAATAAACTAAACAAAACAAACAAACAAAAACTCAGTTACCACTTGCACTCTGCAATCACCAAGAAAGAATGACAAATCCAATGCTGATCCCAACTAGTTGTTTTATGTGCTATCAAGCTCAGAACCAACTTATAGTGCCCCTAATAGGGCTTTCAAGGTAAATAAGATATTTAAGAGTGTTTTTACGAGTGTTACTCTCCCCTGGCCAAGTGAGTTTCTATGGCCAAACAAGGATTCTGACTACTGATGGGCAAAAACCGAACCAAGAACCAGAAAAAAAGATGAACTCGGCTGGTTTGTGGTTTGGTTTCTGGATCCCGTTTTGCTGAAATGAAATAAAGCGCCAAACCTTTTTCCACCTGGGGCTTCATTTTGCTTCAGCAATAGTGCCATGCATTTGTAATAGTTTGTGGTTCGTGGGTAGCCACAAGCCACGAACTATCATGAATCACTGGTTTTCCAGTTTGTGTCTGTCTCTAATTTTAATCCAGGTCTCCTGTGTCCTAATCCATCTCTCAGTCCATAACACCACAGTGGGTATGAACAGAGTAAAACAATGAGAGTTACATTACATGTACATGTACAATTGAACCTTCCAACAGAAGCTGATGTGGACATTTCTGCAGTGAGGATGGCAAGCATTTTCACCTCTCTCCCAAAGTTTTGGGCAGCTTTTTCTTTAGCAAATTTATTTGGTTAAGCACTTCTTCTGCCTTGTTTTAAACAAATCATTGAAAATTGAATACTGCTCTGGCCACTCTATAGCTGTCCCAGGTAAGAAACAGAAATAAATGGTTTTTGCCAGGCTTATTCTCTTAGAAAACTTGCCCATATGCCCTGAAAACAGTAACTTTAGATACACTGCCTGTATGCATAGCCTTATTTCACTTAGAACAGTGGGTAACCCAGGTGTTGTTGGATGGCAATTCCTGGAAACTTGGGCCAGCACAGATGGTGGTGAAGGCTTCTTGGAATTGCAGTCCATGAATACTTAGGTTACCCCTAGTTGGGAACCACTGACTTAGAAGATGGTGATTCATAATGTATCTGCAGTGCAGTTGCACATATTTTTTCTGTAGTAAGCCTCACTATGTATATTAGGCTTGCTCCCAGCTAAGTATACTTAGGACTGCACCTTAATGTCCTGCTTAAAATTCCAAGGACTTAAAAAAAATCGATTCAGCCACCCTCCTTTTGCAAGCTTATACCTTTTTTAACTTTACTGAACAGAATCACAGGTACACTTTTTAAAAGATTCAATGAGTTATCCCATAAAAAGAGGAACTAAATAGCTGGCTTACCCATTTCAAGATACTCATAAAACAGTCCGAGTTTACCAATGGGCTGCAGATGGTAGTCCTGTTCCCAGCGTGGGACAATCTTTTCTGCCCGATTAGCAGAGCAACATCTTCCAATCAAATTCTTAAGCCACCTATGGATTTGGAGCAACATTTCCTTAGTTTAGCCACCCTTCCACACAATTTATATAGTTTCTACATATAAAAACAAGGCGCAGTCAATGAAACCCAAATCACACAATCAATTTCCTTAGTTTAGCCACCCTTCCACATAATTTATAGTTTCTACATATAAAAACAAGGTGCAGTCAATGAAACCCAAATCACACAATCACAGATCACATATCTTGCAACAAGACAGCCAAAACAGCAACAAGATGTCAAAGTAGAAAGGAATTAGAATATCAAAATGAACTAACTGCTAGCAGCAGTAAAAACCTGAACAGTAGCACCAGCAATAAGACTGAAATCCTAATGAGAATGATTTCCACAGATGGAGGGATAGCATTGAGAAGACACTTCTCATCCAATGTGGGCAGCAGCATTCAGAGAAGATCCTCTGAATGTGACCTGCCCCCCGCCCCCAACTGGATAGGAATATACTGGAGCAGGGCCTCCTTGAGGTAGACCACTTCCAAGCTCTTCATGACTTTTATGGTATCTGTAAACTGAGACTGCACATCCTATCTCTGAACCCTGAAGGGCTGCCTTTTTTCTGAGAACTCCAATCTCCAGCTTTTTCTTACAATTTTTAAAAATGAAACCTCTTGCTTGTAGTATCCAAATTCTTTTTTTTAATGTAGGGGAATGTTGGGATGCTGAGGGAAATAAGGTGCGTCCACAATACAGTGGTGCCTCGCTTTACGATTGCCCCCGCATTACGATGAAACCGCATTAAGACAATCTTTTTACGATCGCAAAATGATGGTCTAAATGGGGTTTTTTCGCTTTGCGATGATCGGTTCCCTGCTTTGGGAACCGACTCTTCGCAAAACAATGTTTTTTTAAACAGCTGATCGGCAGTTTCAAAATGGCCACCGGGTAAACAAAATGGCTCCCCACTTTTTTCTGGGAAGGATTCCTCATAAGACAGGCAGCGAAAATGGCTGCCCTGTGGAGGATCTTTGCTGGACGATGAGTTTTGACCCCACTGGAACGCATTGAAGGGGTTTCAATGCATTTCAATGGGTTTTTTCCCCCCACATTACGATGTTTTCACTTAACGGCGATTTTCCTGGAACGGATTATCACTGTTGAGTGAGTCACCACTGTATGTTGCCCATATCCACAGTAAGCTTTTTTAAAAATAGAACAGATTGTTGTTGCTGTTTGCATAGATAATGGGATCTCACCACTGTATGTTGCCCATATTCACAGTAAGCTTTTTAAAAAAAAAATAGAACAGATCGTTGTTGCTGTTTGCATAGATAATGGGATCAGTTTTTATTGTTAGTCTATAGAGTTTATGATCAGAGACCAAGCTACACATTATAAGTGATCACTTATATCTTCTTTCCATGATTTATTTTGAAATAAAAGAACTGGTAGGTCTCTGGGGAGTAGAGCAGTGATGGACAGAAAATAACAATATGGAAGATGAGGAAATGAACTTAAGAAGATGCTCTGTACCAAGTTATCATTTGTTCCTTGTTACCCATCCCAGCCATTTCCTATTCAAAATAGCTCTTCCGCTGTCACTGCCATTACACTGCTTTTCAACCTGTAGAAGTCTTGTACCTTTCACCTTGAGAGCTACAATGTACTAAGGCAGCAGGAATTTAAAGTTGAAAACCAATAAGAAGGGAAAGATAAAGTAGCCATATGTTATTTCCATTCTTTAAATGAAACTTTACAGTCCCTTAGCCAATTGCTATTTAAAAAATTAAAAAATTTAAAAATTGCTGTGAAAAATAAAACTAGCAATTTTGTCCCCAATAGCCAGGCAATAACTGTAAACTCTGGAGGCACAGCATATAACACCCTGTTTTGAATCACTGAATGTACATCTTTTTCATTAATGCCATGAACTCAGCCTTCTCTGCTCTAGAGGGTATGGTATTTGTTGCTACAACCGAAGCTTTCGCATTTAGTCAGCCTGGCTGGGATTCATGGGAGTTGTAATTCAGCACATCTAGAGAAATCTATGCCAGTGTATATGTTGCCATGTATTTATGTCTAACCAAGTCTAATATATTATGATATAAGTTGTATCAGAACTCTCTCTGTGCATTTTCTTACATCTTTGTCTTTGCTAATGAAGGGGAGGATTTGAAGCAGCCAGATAAGAGGCTCTGTGTAACTTGTCTTTGGCTCCAAGGTTTTTTTTTCCCCAAATAGACTCCTCTTACAATCTTCATATCCAATATGACTCCAAGCTTTTGCAATTGTAACTTAACTCCTGTAAAATTAAGATAATGACAAATATTAAGTACTGCATATTTCCAAAGATTCAATTTTTCCCCAATATGCTTATTGCAAGCAACTGATAACACACCCTCAAGATCAGCCTTCTCTGCTCTAGAGGGTATGGTATTTGTTGCTACAACCAAAGCTTTCACATTTAGTCATCCTGGTTGGGATTCATGGGAGTTGTAATTCAGCACATCTAGAGAAATCTATGCCAATGTATATGTTGCCATGTATTTATGTCTAACCAAGTCTAATATATTATGATATAAGTTGTATCAGAACTCTCTCTGTGCATTTTCTTACATCTGTGTCTTTGCTAATGAAGGGGAGGATTTGAAGCAGCTAGATAAGAGGCTCTGTGTAACTTGTCTTTGGCTCCAAGGTTTTTTTTTCCCCAAATAGACTCCTCTTACAATCTTCATATCCAATATGACTCCAAGCTTTTGAAGAGGCAATAGCCATATAAAGCCTCTGGCGTTGGCCTAACACCAACAATTTTGTCATTCATGCTTGCCCACTGAGAGACAAAATGAATGTGTGCTTTCTTTGACTCTCAGTACCACTTGTCTCTCAGAATTTTCAAAAATCTGACAAACAAGTTAAGGCCTTAAACCAGACCTGGGCAAAGTGCAGCCCGAGGACCACATAAGGCCCGCGAACCGCTCCTGTCCAGCCCGCGGACAGTTTTGAACATCAAAACCATTTATAGCTTTTTGTCTAAAGTTGATCAGTTGCTTATCTTTAACATACCATAAAAAACCTCTTCAGTATTTGTGAAGATTAACAAGTTTAAAATAAAACAATCATAACATTACTGTTTCATTTTATTTTTAAGTAAAGTTGGTTCGGCCCCCAAACACAGTTCAGATTTTTCATGTGCCCCCATATAGAAATGAATTGCCCACCACTGCCTTAAACTTTTCTTTAAAATACATTTCAGATTGAAAAATGAAGCATAATCTCCATTCTATGTAATGCTCCAAACTGAGGTTGAGGTAATCTGTAATAGTGGAGATTGTGCTTCAATTTTCATCCTGAAATGTCTGAAAATTTTACTTGTTTTAGGAAAAGATCAGAATACCCCCCCCAAAAAAAGCCCAACAACTTTTAATCCCACAAACCTAAACTTTCCCTTGCCTCATCAAGTCTCTTTCTTTTCTTCTAGTAGCCTTCTGTGGAATTTCTATTTCCTTAGTTTCCAGAGAAGAATACACCCCCGCCGCCGTTTGCCTCCCTGAGCTTGTATTAACCATGCTACTATTTTGATATATTCACGAAGGCTTTCACAGCCAGGATCTAATGGTTGTTCTGGGTTTGCTGTCCTCTGAAGATGCCAGCCACAGAGACTGGTGAAACGTCAGGAAGAACAACCTTTAGAACACGGCCAAAGAGCTGTCTTAAACTTTTCTTTCAAATACATTTCAGATTGAAAAATGAAGGATAATCACCATTCTATGTAATGCTCCAAACTGAGGTTGAGGTAATCTGTAATAGTGGAGATTGTGCTTCAATTTTCATCCTGAAATGTCTGAAAATTTTACTTGTTTTAGGAAAAGATCAGAATACCCCCCCCAAAAAAAGCCCAACAACTTTTAATCCCACAAACCTAAACTTTCCCTTGCCTCATCAAGTCTCTTTCTTTTCTTCTAGTAGCCTTCTGTGGAATTTCTATTTCCTTAGTTTCCAGAGAAGAATACACCCCCGCCGCCGTTTGCCTCCCTGAGCTTGTATTAACCATGCTACTATTTTGATATATTCACGAAGGCTTTCACAGCCAGGATCTAATGGTTGTTCTGGGTTTGCTGTCCTCTGAAGATGCCAGCCACAGAGACTGGTGAAACGTCAGGAAGAACAACCTTTAGAACACGGCCAAAGAGCCCGAAAAACCCAGAACAACAACTACTATTTTGAATTGGTTGTAGGTTTGTTTTTGTATTTAAGGATTGAGTTTCGGTTTAAGATCAAGGCATCTCAATGATTGTTCAGGTTTAAATATAACATTTTTTTTTAAACCACTTCTGAGTCCAGAGTTGCTTTGACACCTAGGTAATCTATAATAGTGGAGATTGTGCTTCAATTTTCAGGTTTAAATATAACATTTTTTTCTAAATCACTTCTGAGTCCAGAGTTGCTTTGACACCCTGCTAGCAACACTACTTACGGAAGAAGCACTTCTTGAATGTTATTCCAGATTGCTTTGCCTCCCATTATTATTGTCAGTTGTGTAGTAAGCTCAAGAAGACATCCGCCTGGATCACACTAAGGTTCAAAGGGGCACAGAAATGGACAGTTCAGTATATTCAGTTAAAGCTATTTTAACTCTCACCTGAAAGTACATTATGAACATCTTTATGAACATCAGAAAACAAAACACACACAGAGAGAGAGAATAGTTGATTCATACCTCTTCATTTCTGTATTTTCCCAACCAATAAACTGGGTCACCAGGGTATCCTACAAATTTACCCTTAAAGAATGCAATGTAGAAACACGAAGAATAGTAGTTGACAAATTGGAATAAAAACATCTTCATGGTCAGACTGTTTTCATAATCTGTCTGTGTCCTTGGAAGTTCTATATTTTACAGAAGGGAGACAAAACCCCACAACAATTATTAAACCAACAAAGAAGAGAGAGAATAAGGGAAAAAGAAATAGGTAATCCAAGAATAGCTTTGGAGACAAATATACATGTGCACTGCTGCCTTGAATACAATTTACATCTTTATAACTTAGATTATCTGGAACTATTATTCCAATTTCATGTGTTATTTAAAAAAGGGGGAAGAAACATTCATTCACCCAAGAACAAGTGAAAAGCATCCAGCAGATTGTATACATAATGGACATTTTCATGTGATGAAAATGAAAGAATATTAATATGCAGCTACTTATGATACCTCCCAAACCCAGCAGTGTTTCAAATAGTTTATCTATTTATTTAACAGATAAAAGATTTAAAACAGTGATTCTTTTCCTATTTGTTTACAAGAATACTGCAACTCTATCTGTAGACAATTGCAAATGTAATTGAATGCGTTATCCCATGCTTATCTCTTTCCATGAAGTTGGAATTTCAATAGTAATCTTCTGCGCTCTGTCAGTTTCATAAATATACAGCTGTAAACAATTGATGTTCCCTGCTAGTAATACAAGGATTTCTTAGTAATGAGTTGAATGTCTTTTCTCTGGAAACCAAGAAAGTTTGTTCTTAAAATATTTATTTCAAGCTATAGAGAAAAAGGTCTTAAATGCATGGCACATGCCTTCTGTTTGCTGGGTTTGCTGTATTCTTAGGAATGCAAACCTTTACTCTATTTACTCCAGAAGTTTTTCTGTTGTCCTGCTGCATGATAATCTTACCAAAGTCAGTAATCATAATTGCTACTTTCTCATAGATCATGTTGAGAATCATAATGATTATGAAGCTGAGAACAGAAGCAGACACTGAAGTTGCTGCTTGTGGTGTCAGGTACTTCTGGATTGCTTCTGTTCCATTGATGTGTCTTGGCAGCGTTGCAGAAAAAACCAGGAAAACGGACAGTCTGTAAACAATTATGCCAATAACTGAGGCAATAATGAGCAGGATCTGAAAACAGAGAGCAATATGTATGTTCTCAAAGAATTTGTTTCCCAAACTTAATCAGCAATACAAAATACGCACATGCATATTTAACTTTAATGTTACTTATTTGACTTTAATTTTACAAACTTTATGAAAGCTTTCATTTTATTGATTCCCTCCACCAAGAAATCTACAGAAAACCTTTCCATGATGACACTCAAAAAAAAAAAAAAAAAACACACACACACCTTCTTCCAGGTAGCTGAATTCTAGATCCCCACTTAAATAGCTACTCTATTGTTTCCTCCTTAACACACTTTTGTGATAAGAAAGAAGATGGCATGAGTAGAAAAATACAGGAGGCCTAAAAATGGAAAAGAATTAAAAATGGACCCTCCGCGTAAAAATGAGACAGTGTAAGTATACAATGCAGGACTTCTCATGAACCACCCAGGGACAAAGACAGGTATGTGTGTATGTGTGTGGTGGTGGTAGTAGACTTTATAGGTAGAAGCTATAGCAAAATGAATAAAAGCAAAAGGGAAAATGGAGGAAAGTATAAGAGTAGATTGTAAAAGAGATATAAAGAGAGAGAGCATGCAGAACGGCACAATATATATTTTGAAAAATGCTCTTGTCTTGAAAATAAGTTTAGCTTTTTCTCTGCTCCTTCTATTGCTTTTAGCCTTTATAACACTTTGCTTAGGAGGAATAATCATTATAGCATTCTCATGGCTGCTTCTAACACAAAGGAATATCTGCAGCTCTGAGAATGACAATTCCACTCACAATCACTGAAAAATCTTAAAAGTGGCGGGGGTGTCATTCTACAAAGAAGCATGATACTCCTTCCAGAGAATGAAACAGCAGGGTAGCAAACCAAAAGGAAGTGCAGCCACTTACTCCACACTAGCTACTATTTTTGCCCAGTAGGTTTCCATGGGCAAATTGTGCTTGCTGAAAAGGTAAGCGGGACTGTACTTTTCTTCCCAAACCTGCCTTACACATATGCACTAGATACTTGGTGGGATGGAAAACACTGCGGCATCATTTTAGAATGTTTAAATATTTTGGTGTTAATTTTTTTCTTTACTTCATTTATTTCATTATCCCTAAAGCAGAAGTGATGGAACAGTCTTAGGACACAACTATCCTTTT